CAGAGTCAAAGCCCTTGTGCTCTGCCTCTGGGTCCTGGTGGGCAGTGACACCGTCCCTTGGTCTTGGTTCCTAGGGCCTGGGGAGCTGTGTCCTGAGAGCACGTGGACAGGTAATCCCTGGCTTGGCTCCAGCTCCAGAGTGAACTCCAAGACCCCACAACTGCCATGAGGAGCCAGTGCCACGGAGGCTGTGAGGGGCCAGGCCAGGCCAGGTCTCCTCCTGGCCTGTCAGGGGGAGAGGAAACGCTGCTCCTGTTGGTCCTTGTCATCCACCAGGCGCCCCAGCCCAGGTCTCCAGTGAGCTATTGCCTAGAGTCAGGCATATTCTGGTCACTGAGGTTCAGTGGTGATGGTAGCAGACGGAGGACTATTCACTTGCCTGCCCTGCCGGCTCCTGTGCCTGCTCCTAAGCCCTCCTGGAGGATCTTCTGCTGTTTGTTCCCCCATCCTTGGTCTTGGTCCGGCTACCCTCTTGTCAGCTGTGAGAGCTTTCCTTGGGTACAGGCTGCTCTGAGAGTATGCCAATGGCAAAGGGTACAGGCCTTCTCTCAGCATGGCCACTGACTTGGTGGGCATGAGGATGTCCATGGAAGCCCTTGGTTTCTATCTCTGCGCCTTGATTTTCCTGTCCAGTCCCAGGCAGGTTTGAAAACTGTGGTCGCCCCGCCCTTCTCCTGTCCAGGCCCCCACTACTCAGGCGAGATGGGGCCAGCAGAGCTCTGTCCTGCTCCAGAAATCTGTTCTCAGACTATCCACCCCCACCCCACGCCCACAGCTCTGTTCCTGCCGAGGATGCACCTGGGTAGCCTCTGGCCCTCATTGTTTTCTCTGGGGCCAGCTAAGCCACATCAGGGAGCAAGACATGGCAGGACGAGGACCAGGCACCCAGTGGGTGTTAGGCCAGGGTCCCTAGGAATGAACCCAGACACCCTAGGGTGCTCACCCAACTTTCCCTTCAGTGATTGGAAACTTCACATGGCTTATCTGCAACCTGAAGGAAGCTCTGAAAAGTCAGGATCCTGCCAGAGGAGGCAACCTCCAAGCCACTGAAGCAATGGCAGACACAGGAGCACCCCCTCTAACTGAGGCATACAAGAAGATGCTCCATCCCGTGTCTGCTTCTGGTGGGGGAGGGCACAGCCAGCCTGCCTCAGAGCTGATCTGGTGCACCGGTGTAGACAGGAAACGGGCCTGGGGGGCAGTGAGCCTTGTCTTGGCTCTGTGGTGGACAGTGACATCTTTCTGTACCCACCTGTGCCAGACTCAGCACTCAAAAGTCCTGAGGACAGCCATAGGCTACTGCATGTTCTCCTTGCACTCCCAGCCCTGTGATCCACCAGACTTTCCTGCTCCACATCAGAGAGGAGGATGCCTGGTGGGTCACCATTTTGCAGAGGTTGAAACAGCCCCAGTATGTCCCAAGTATTGGTGGCCCATCTGGAAGATGCTAATGTCCTGACAACTGCTCAGTGCTCATCCTGGCTCCAGGCATCAGTGGGAGCCAGTGCTGGTCTCCTTGGAGAGCACATCTGCTTCCTGTCCATGGGTGCTGTCTGCCTGTCTCTTCACAAGACTTAGCTTCCAAGCCCTACTGCCCTCTCCTCATGAAGGGTAATGCGCTCTCCAGGGGCCTCTTAGGGATAAGGACCAGCCCTTCCAGACTTTGCTGGGCTGGTGTGGGTCATGCGGTGAGGCAGCTCTCCACATGCCTCTGACCCATCCTTATGCCCTCCGCGTGGACTGCCCAGGGTGGCATTCTGTCCTGCTGCACCCCTACCTGGCCTCCTGTATTAAATCCTACCCTGTTTGGGTCAGAGCTCTGGCCAATGGAGTCATGAATCCCAGCAACCCAGGACTTAGCTACCTGATGGAACACAGTGGCTGTATGTCAATACCCATCTGTCCCTGATTCTCACTGAAGGGATCTGAAACAATATAGGCCACCTGAAGCTTTGCTGGATGTGAGGATGGGGTCAGTTTGTCAAAGCTGCTAGGCCCAGGATCCCAGCCCTGTGAAGCTGTGTTTGGAGGGGTCAGTGGATCCTTTCTGGATCTTTCCATTCTCCTAGAATAACTGAATTCCCCCCTTCCCACCCATTAAAGCTGCCCCTCACAGGTTCTAGAACCTTCCATAATAAGTCAAGTTGGAATCTATTTTTCCTCAGAGGTGCCGCCCCAGGGAGCTGTCTGGGACACAGAGCCATTGAGCTGAACTGCAGACTGTAGGCACGTACATTGGGCCACAAAGACCTCTGAGGAATCAGCCTCAGGGTCTGCCTCTGAGACAGAGCAGAGAGAGCAGGGCACTCCTCCCCACCTAGGGGCAGCAGCTAGCTGGGGGAGAGGGGAGACCCATCTTGTGGATGGTGTGTGCTCTCGTGCAGTGACCACCTCAGAATGGGACACAAGTCCGGTATCCAGTGAGTAGGGAGGAGCTGGGGTCGAGTCCTAGCCTAGTTCCTGCCATGCCAGGGTCAAAACTGACTCATGTCCTGTGCTCCAGGTTCCAGGCCTGAGGCCACCCTAGGTGACATAGGTACCCTATGGCTGCCTGAGAGTGAGGCTCATGAACTCTCAAGATGTACCTTCGGGCTAGGTGAGCCCTCATCCTGCCCGAGACCCCTGTCCCGGAGTCTCAGTCCTGGTGGCGACCCCACGGATCCCCGTGTATACAGTATGTGCAAGGTGATGAGCGCTGAGGGCTGATCTCAGCAGACCCAAGTGACCACACTCAAGATGCAGTGGGTTGGAATGCAACTCAGTGGTACAGCACCTGCCTGGCACATGCCAGGCCCCGGCTTCCATCCCAACACCTTAAAAGGTGCAAAGTAAAAAACTTCACTGGTTGCCTATAGGTAGTATTCTTTCTCTGTACTTTTATACATTCCCAAAATCATCTCTAGAAAGACACATTTTTAGAAAGACAAACCCTTGGGAAGCCTGATGGTGTCTGGGGTATACCTGGTGCTTTCACTCTCAGGGCAGCTCTGCTGGTGTTTCTGAGGTGTTAACATACATCACAGATTCCGAATGACCCCAGGGCAGGCCAGAACCTCTGGGCTCACCCACCCTTCCCCACAGCACGGTTGCACAGGCCAGAGTTCTGCCTGAGGCTGCTGAGTCCCCTGCAAGGCTGGCACACCAGGCCTCCCATTCCAGGCAGGGAGCTCTGTGTGCACGGGAGGGGTCTTCTTAGGTGGACAGGGTTCCCATTTGGGTTCCAGTGTGTAGTTGGGGTTCATGCGACACAGTGTCTGAGGGTCAGTGGAGAGGGAACGCAAGCTAGCGAAGTCCAAGCCAGATGTGTTTTAACAATTTAATACATTCAAGAATATTTACTAGGACAAAATGACAGAGTATCATCGGTCAGTCAGTAGAAGCCTAAGATAGAAAAAGAAAGGTAAACTGGCCCTTTTGCAGTAAAGCTTGTGCTTAAAGAGAAGAGGCAAAATGACTTCCTGGAGCCTACAAAGCAGGTACCCACCTTTAAACACACACGACCTTATAGTTGTACCCAGAGCCAACAGTGTTGTAAGGGTCCTATCAAAAAAGGTAAAAAGTAATGCTCTGGAGCCCTGGCACCTGCAGACCCTTGTGCAAACATGGGCAGTCTGACCCTCACTGGGGCCAGGATGGCCCTTCCCAAGCCCACCTCTGTCTCTGCCACCACTCCCAGGCTTGATGCTGGGCCCTCAGTGTCCAGAAGAAACGTGCCATCCAAGTGACACAGGTCACTGGTAACCACCACCTACTTTCAGAAGATTCTGGAATTCCCCATCCCAGCACGAGCTGCTGCAGCTGGTCTCACATGGCCAGCAAGGGACAAAAATGTCAACTGCAGTCTCAGAGAAATCTTCTTAGTCACATAACAGCCCCCCCCATGATATAATAAATAAACAAACACATGACCAGACACCCTGGATTCAGACAGTGGACAGGCAAATGAAAGCAGAGGCAGGAACTCAGAGAAATTAAGTGGAGAGAGATACTGGGAATGATGATTTGAACACGAGCAGTCACTCATGCTGACAGTTAACAGTCAACAGAGTAACAGGAACCAGAACAGAACGCGGCCGGGGAGGACCAGGCCAGGTATCCGTGACAGTTGGCATCTGGGGTGTCTTCTGGTGTGCTCTGAGGTTGATGCTGCCTCTTTTAGTTGCAAATGGTCATTTCACCAAGGCCTCAGGAGGAGCAGCAGCCTGTACTGACAGGTTAGGACATTTAGGCAGGGCGGATGGACAGCACCAGCCACCTGGTGATGGCACACTGCAGGGCATAGACATGCAGAGCCCTCTTAACAGTCACTTCCTTCTCTAGGATCCAAATGCGTGTCAATCTCCTGGTAAAAAACATCATGCTTGAATGCTGCCCCTGAGTCCATGATGGGACTGGATGGACCTCTTGGGAGCCAGCTCCTTGCATCCGGTCAGTGGGGCTACAACTCAGCTTCACTGGTGGCCAGTCTTCCTCATGATGCCTTTCAGGTGCCGGTTATAATCCAGAAGGTTTTGACAACGTTCAACCAACAGCTACCGTGTTAGGCACACATGACATGTGGGCTCCTTGCTCCCAAAGAGCTTTGAGTCCTAGCCTGAAAGTCATCACAGATCACCTCTGAGTAAGGCTTTGGCTCAGACAGCAAAGAACCGGCACCTGGGCAGGGCGGGCCTGGCCCTCTGAATCCCTGCTGACACCTGCCCTGGTGAGGAGGCACGGGCAGCCCTGACAAGGGGAGGTAAGGCACTTTCATACATTCTGTTCTAAAGGAGTACATCTCAGTGACTCTGCAGGGACTTTAACTCATACCATGGGCTCCCTAAACATGTCCCTCTTCTCAGCTACTTCCTACCTCATTCCCTGCTCTGGCTTTATCATGTCTAAATTCTGTGTTTTATTTCTACGATTAGAAGAATTTTTTTTTTGAGACAGGCTCACTATGTAGCCCAGGCTGGCCTTGAATTCACTATTTATGCTCCAGGTTGGCCTCCAACTCACGGTGATCTTCCTGCCTCAGCCTCCCAAGTTCTGTGATTACAGGTGTGTGCCACCATGCCTGGCTTAAAACAATTTAACTTTGGTACTAACAGAATAGGAACTATTTTCCACAATATTGCTCATAATAAATCAAAAATCTTAATTAGAACTCCTTTTGATCAGTCCCTCTTCTCAGAAGCCTCAAGCCAGGGGTGGGGCTGGAGGCAGGCGGCCGAGCACCAGGCAAGGATCCTGCCTGCTTCCTGCCAACAGGAGTCCAGCCATAGTGTGGACTCAGCCAGCTGCAGGCTATGAGGTGGAACCACCTGCACTGTGCTTCTATACACTTTTCTTAACTATTTCAAAACTCCTACACGGTGGTGACCAGGGCGGCTCTGTCACATGGAGGGGATGACTTTCCCAATTTTGCAGTGACACACTCCTAGAAACAGACCCATGTGAAGGGCAAGGCTGGCTCTGCCCCAGCACTAGGGAGCAGACACTTGCCAGGTACCCACTTTCCCCCCGGTGCTCACCAGCAAAGGGACCCATGAGGGTTAACAGTCAAGAAGTGCTGTAGCTGAAGCTTTCACCAACCTCTAGGAATCCCCTATAATCCAATACTTTTCCCAAAGTTTAGCTGGATAAGAGCCTTTTGTTTTTACATCCTGGGCACGAATGGAGCTCAATCCGTCTTCAGAAGGAAACCAGCCTGCATGCTGCGTGCTGTGCTCACGTGCACTGGGTGGACAGGCCATGTGGAGGAGCCCTGGTGTGCATCACAGGCCACAGGCCACAGGCCCAAGATCTTCCTATGCAGAGTCCCAGGCTGAGGCTCCCAGGCTGAGGCTCACACGCTGCAGGACAGCCCAGAGTTGCCAAAAGCTTGAGGGGTGCATAGCTAAGGGTATTGGTGTCACTTGGTTACTGCCGAGGGCCCCAGCCAGCGGCAGCTCCGCCTGGTGTGCTCAAGTTTCAAAGTACTTGTAGATTGCCGTCACATACAGCATCACATTTTGCCAGTCTGGCCGTTCGGTGCGTACCATCTCATTAATGTCCTGACAGAGACAAGGGATTTGGTTAGGACTGCAGGTCACCTCCCAGCCCAGCCCATCCCGATGCGTTCATCAGGAATAGTGAAGGATTTTTTGTCTAACCCTGATAACCTGACTACACATTTCACAGACCTGGCCCAGAATACCTCCTCCATCTCTACTAAGGGCCTCTAGGAGGATCCTCCTTCAGGGCATCAGCATTACCCCTCAAGATGTCTGCTTCTGTCTGAGCCACGTGCAGCGTCACTGACACAGCATGGCAAGGCCAGAGGGCTTCATGCGTCTGTGTGACCCCAACACGCCTTTCTTCCCAGATCACTACCCATGGGACGCTTCTAGAGCCATTTTAGCCCCAGGCTCTGGCTTAGGAGGGCTTACTATGTCAGGGACTCACATCACATCAACACTGATGACCTTTACCACAAGGAAGGCAAGTATCATCAAAGATACTGCCTTTTTTTTGTACTGGGGATTGAATCCAGAACCTTCACATCTCTACCTCTCCTTTTTTGAGACAGGATCTCTTGAAGTTGCTGAACTGCCCAGGTGGGATACAAACTTTCAATTTTCCTGCTTCAGCCTCCCACAGTGCTGGGATTACAGGCATGCACCACCATGCCCATAATGTTAACTGCAGGATACCAGAGACCTCCAACATATGAACTGAGTGGGCAGAAAAATGAACGTGGGAAACCATGGACTGACCAGTTCCCACCCAGGTACTTCAGAGTCTGTAACTCAATCCTGCTACTTTTGAAGAGCAAGGCCTGCTGCTGGTCTGAGAGGACCCTTTAATGGGCAAGGAATCCCAGATGTGCCACAAATGGGAAGGTCACCCAGGGTTATTCAGTACAGAAAGCAGAATGCTATTTGCCTATTGCAAATAATCTTGCCTATTAAGTTTGTTAGGATGGAGAAATTATCTACATTTTTATATATGAAAATTTTACATATGTAATATAAAATGTCTAATACTGGGAACATATTTGAATAATTTATTTCTCTATACAGCTGAACAGAAGCCACCATAAGCAAGCATATTTCTATAAATTTAAAATACATATTTATGCTATAAATATGAATGTAAATACTTTCTTGAGGCATATGCAGTTACAAATTGGGGTGATGGGTAGCCACAGGTAGGGCCCTGGAGAACTATAGGTAGGTCGGGGGTCCTGACCCCATGGGACACTTTCCTTTGTGAAAAGCCTTGAGCAGCTCAATGACGTCTGTGTGGTCTGTATGATTCTACAGTATTCCATTTAAGAAGTAAAAGAGTCTCTAGGAGGGCCGGGGATTTAGCTCAGCAGTTCGGTGGCCTGCCTTGCAAGCACAAGGACCCAAGTTCAATCCCTGGTACCAAAAAAAAAGTCTCTAGGCGTGGAAACAACATTTTGCATTTGGACACAGTATTTTCTCCCAGAAAGTCAGGCTTGGTGATGACAGCAAAAGCTCCTGTCAGAAGTATGCCTGTTGTAAGCCTTGGCAGGGACCGGGCAGAAATCTGCACAAGGACCTAAAACCTAAGTCCACACAATTTTCTGTACCTCATTCCTCACACTGTGAGCAGGAAAGTCTTATGGCCCTTGTGAGAAGTGCAGTTAACAACACTCTTCAGCCTATAAAGCTGTCCTCCTTGACTCAACACGCACCCTATCCTCTCCCTCTACCTTGGCAAAAGGCAAGCACATAGACCCATGCAAGGTGCTTCGACAGTGACATTTATAAACTTTTCTTCTTCTTCCCTGAACCCAAAGATTCTGCTGAGGAAAAGGCTACCACAATGACAAGACTGCATGAGGTCTGCCAGGCCTGAGATCACTAGCCACCCACCCATGTGGGCAGCTCCTGAGGGTGCTTCATGTGAGGCATAAAGCACCATGGGCAACAGGTGAGCACCTGCCTGGATGGGGCCCTCCATCACACCCCCACCCCACCCCACTGCCCTAGCCTTCTTAAGGCAGCTACACCACCCAGTGATTGTCTTCCTACTGAGGAGGACCCTGCCTGTGACTTCCCAGTGGGCACTGGGGACTCACCAGTGTGGATTTGATGCCAACACTTTCAGCTGCCTGGAAGGCCAGTGTGAAGTTCCTTTTCTGTAAGAGAAATCATGTTGCTGTAGTGCATAGGGAACACAAGGAGAAAGGTCACATGGAGGGTGGATACTCAACTCTGTCTGGGACCAAAACAAACCTATACTGGGTCCCTCAGGATTCCTAGTTTGTACCAAGTACCTTGTGGGCCCCACCACCCTCTTCTCCAGCCAGTTGTAGAGCTGTCACACTTGTGCTTTCTTCACTCAGAGGTTCACTTCCAGCATGAGGACCCTTAGTTACCTGGATACATACCCAAAAAGCTAGAAATACACATCCGCCAAAAGGGTTTTCTCCCTGTGAGAATCTTCAAGGATTGTCTATAGGGCTGGGGACAGCCATGGTGGGAGGAGGGGGGGACAAAGGAAGGGGTCCTGAGCCTGTCCCCTGACCCTGAGGTGCTCCCTGGATGGGACACACCCCAAATCAGGGTTTGCTGACTGCACAGGGTTGGTTTCTCATCAGTTCTGAGACCCACAATGCTTAGTGGGCTCTGAGTGACAGTCTTGATCCAGAAATGACAGGAAGCTGGCATTTTCTAGACAATAGTGACCTGACCATTCATGGTATAAACAGCTCTTCCCTGTCCATTCTTGAAGCCCTTGGTCTAAATGTTGTCACCAGGAAGGAACGATGTCACCCACTAGGAATGATGTCAGGTGGAGAATTTTTTTTTGTACTGGAGATCAAACTTGGGACCTTGCGTTTGCAAGCAGGCAGAGGAACAACTGAGCTAAATCCCCAGCCCTGGAGAATTTTGAACCAATCAAATACTCCTTACAGGGTGGGTTGGGGACCAGGGAGCTGAGCACAAATGACCAATCTTGGAAAGAGGCTGAGCCAGACGTGTCCTGAACCCACACTCATGTGTGACCCTGGTTCTCGAGCTCTCACTGTGAGGGGAGCTGGCGTCCTGTGGCCTGTCTTACCTTATCTTGGCTATTCAGTTCTTGGTATGGAATGTGAGCTGGAAGATATGTATGCAGGAGTGCGCAGAAGGCCAGCCCATCATTCCAGCTGCTGCTGAAGTTTGTGATGTCAATATTCTGAGGGAAAGAAGACAAACAATTAAAGCAACACATAATATGATCCTCTGAGGAAGTGCTAAGGACAGAGCCTCTAACATCATGTGGCCTCCAAAACAAAACCAAATCTTGGGCAAGGTGAGCTCTGGAGGGATCAAAGCCTGTTGGAAGGCTATGTCCCAAGGTCTACCTGGTGTTCACATCTGGACCTGTTAAGGCATCCCCTCATCCTATCACCACCTGCAGGCTATGACTCCACATGTTACACCTGGGCTTGTGACGTGAATTATAAGTTGCTTCATACACTAAGAGGGCTCCGGGCTGCTGAGGTTGGCCTCTCTTATGCCTGGCTGTGGTGACAGTACAGACTGCAGGATGTGGGTGACAATCAATTAGGCTTAAAGCAACATTTAGTAAAATGTAGCTCACTCCCCACTGTTTGCTCAAGTACTTGAAAGATCCGTGAAGTTAGCATGTATCTCAGAGTGTGAGCACATAAGGACATTATCCCACTTGAGATAATGATGTGAACCAATGGCGAAAAGTGAAGGAGAGTCTGGTCAGGCTTCAGCATCATGGCCCACAGATAATCACTGTGGTTTCCAACACCACCTATTCACAGTTAAAAAAGCAATTTTAATGTTGGGCTGTGTATTTCCTATGCCACTTCTGAGTCATCACAACTTTAAGGGTTCCTTCATTTCATGTCTAAATCAAAAGTATCTAGGCATGCAAATAATATATTTTTATTATATGGCCCTTCAGCTGGTATATAACCTTTACCCTTATTCGCAAAAAAGTCTCTTGAAAATGAAATTGTGCATTTAAGTTTTGATAATTCACATTTTCTATAAATGTACAAACTAAACAAGAACAGTTTTCTCAATACCTCTTTAAAACCTTTTTTCTTTTTTGAAGTACTAGGACTTGAAGGCAGGGCCTTTGCATGGAGTTACACATCACCAACCCTTTTTAAAATCTTGAAACAGGGTCTTGCTAAGATGCCTAGTTCAACCTCGAACTTGTGATTTTCTTCTCAGCTTCCCACAGTGCTGGGATTACAGGTGTGCACCACCAGGCCCAGGTCAAACTAGTATTTCTTAGTACCAAGATGGAGGACCCATGGCTCAGAGAAAAGGAACAGGTGGGGTTGAGAGACTGAGGTTCAATGTTGAGGATGTGTCCATATAGCTGGTAAGGAGCAGGCCAGAAGAGACCAGGCCAGACAACCAGTCGTTCTGGGGAGATGGGCTTCATGTAGCCTCATGGCTCTAGGTGGTCCCTTCACAGAGCAGCGCAAGGCTGACTTCTCATTAGCTCAATCATCAATGCATACTTTCTTAGCCCTGGCTGCACATGTGCAGAATGCTGCCCTCTGACTACATCTATTCCAAGTATGGAGCCCTCTGAAGAGCAGCAGCTCTGAGAGCAATTCTTTCACAGGTCATTTTCCCTCACTAACCTGGTCTGCTGCTGCTTCCAGTTTCTTCAGAGACACTGTTTGCAACTGCTGTGAGCAAAGAGATCACTTAAGGCACAAAATGTAAGAAAACCTGCCAAACATTATGGAAGGAAGGTGGTGATGGCCACCATGCTGCGTGTGACTTGGCTATGGAAGGGAGTGAGCACACTGTGTCTTCTGATACCAGCCCTCCCCAAATACCAGGGCTAGGTCAGAATCCTGCCTGCCTCAGTGCCATAGCCATTAGCCTTCCCGGCTGTCTTCCAAAAGGACCTCTGCTCTGACCCTAAAAGTCACCATTCAGAGGGATTCTGATCATGTCATGAAGGTAACTCAAAACAAATGATGCTTGAGTTACTGCTGAGGAACACGTGTTCATGCCTGCGTGTGCGCACGCGCGTGCACACACACACACACACACACACACACACACACACACACACACACACACAGTTGCCTCTTTTATCTCTTCTGAATTTTAGAAAGTAGCCAGCAAGAATAGGTAGATCTATCCATCTGGGAGGACACTAGGATCTAGAAATCACCTGTCACCCAAGATTCTCAGAAGGCTGTAGGGATTACAGGGACAGTTATTCTTGGGCCCATGTACCCTGTGAGCCGTGTACTAATTGTCACAATTACCCCAGGGCACTTTTTTGTTGTTGTGCTAAGGATTAAACCTCCTACATGCTAGGCCAGTATTCTACCACTGAGCTATATTCACAGTCCACCTGTGAGCAGTCTTACAGGAAAAGATCAGACATCTGGCCCCAGGAACAGGTAGTTCGGGAGTTTACCAAAGTCGGGCTTAATTAGCACAGCAGGGTAGTCCTGCTTTCCCACAGGCAACAGGGAAGATTTCCTCATGCTCTGTGGGAAGTACATTTTTAAAATCTAGACCTGGGTATGGAAAAGAGACGGGAATGAAGTATGCAAAACAATGAAGAATGGGCCAGCACTAGCTAGCTGAATGATCTGTAGGGTCCAGTGGTGCACAGTCCCTTGTTCAGAGTATAGAGGAAAGAGTCCATTGAAGATACTAAAAGAAGGCTGGGGATTTAGCTCAGTGGCGCTGCACCTGCCTTGCAAGCGCAAGGTCCTGAGTTCAATCCTCGGTCCCCCTCTCAAAGATACTAAAAGAAGTCTAGCTGAAGCCCAAAGGGCCTCCCCACTCCTCCTAGGAATCTAAATGGACCTTATGACTAAGTGGTTGATAAGAGAGCCAAAGACATTAGCCTTGTTGCACACAGAGAGCCGGGCAGGAAGCTTTTTAATAGCATGCGGAGCTCTGTGCAAGGTCAACGTCAGTATCTCACTCTAGGTCACATTCACTTCTGGAGGAAGATAAACCTTCTCTTCCTGCCACAGCTACCCGTTCTGCTCCCTGAAAGAGAAGCAGCTCTGTCAGGGTTGTGGACGTGCCTGGCCTCACCATGCCTCACAGCAGAGGCTCCTGTGTCCTGGATGCCTGGCTGTGGGACCTGGACCTTCCTGGCTTTGCTTCCTCCAGACAGACCCAGCCTCAGCGGGGGAGCTGCTGCTTCTGCACCCGCCCAGGTCCTCCAGGAAGAGAAGACACATCCAGGACACATGCAATCCCCTGAAATAGGACAGCAGAGCTCCTGGGGCAATGAAGGGGCAATGAATGGTTACACATGGCATTTCAGATCCAAATAAAGCCCAAACCTAAGAAGGCTCTCATTCTGGACAGTGTTAGGGTATAAACTGGGGGCCAAGAACTGTGGGGCCATTAAATAGTAAACTCAAGTGAATCCTCCATAGCCAACTGTGCCTCTGTTTCCTACCCTCAATCAAAGGCCGGCCCTGTGGGGGAGAGTCAGGCCTTGAAATAAGAGTGCTTCCCAAAGGGCAGCCCTGGCCATAATCTCACTAGTTATTTTATTGTTTAGGACTGAAAAGTCTAATATTAGCAAAATAATGTCTGTTGTATACCCACAGTTCTGCAAACAACAGGGCTGCTTCTCTGAGGCCAAAAAGCACAGTGCTAGAAAACGCAGAGGGGAAGATGGGAGCCACCTATCCCAGCCTTCTTCTGTGGAGCGCTTCATTATTGGCCTATCATAGAATGGCAGTATCTTGGAGACGATATCAGCAAGTATCTTGGAGAAGAAACACTGTGTCACCAGATAAAAGGGCTTCTCTCTTCCTTACCCAGTGAAGATCTCCCACAGCAGCCATTACTTCCTAAACTTCGACTGCAAGTAGGCTCTCGGCTGCTGGGGGAGAGAAGGGATGGGCAGAAGATTCTAGGGCCCATACTGTGCCTCTGTAGGTGACCACCAGGCAGCGTTTCCCTCACGCCTCTGTTCCCTGCCTGGACCACACAGAATAGCCTGAAAGTGCTATACCCATCAGCGTGACAGTGGGGGTAGGCTTCCTGTCATTTTCTGATTAAGAGGCCACAATGTAGATCAGTGACAGACTGCTGGTCTCTGCAAGGTATGACCACTTTACCTGCCCATGAGGCCCAGATAAGTATTATCAACTCTGGGTTTATTTAGTAATTGAGGAAAAATTCACATTTTTGTGCCTTGGAAAAAACCAACTCAAAGCCAGTGTGCAGCTTGCAGGCTGGGGTGTGGACCCAACATGTTGTGGGCATGTGGGTCCTGACAGTCTTGGGCTTCTGTACAGTAAATGTGAAAATGCTGGCCCACTCAAAAGGACAAATCAGCAGCCCCCTGTGAACTGAGCTGTGCTTTATACACCTGAGGAGCCCAAATAAAACTATAGTTTATTTAATTACTGTAGAGGAGGTAGGAGCTGGATGGCAGATCGTCCCGACCCCATACGGACACAATAAGGAACAGCACTGCTGGATGCCCCGGGCTGCTCTTCCCTTTACTAGAGCTCTGCTTCTGGGCACGTAGCCACAGTCACTGGTCCCACTCAATGCCATCGCTTGTAAATCTCCACTCGCCTTCACGTCAAATATGCAGCACAATCCCTGGCCTTTTGAAAAGCGGTTTCCCACTTCCTCTTTGTCTAAAGTTTGGATGAAGAACAGTAATAACTGTGTAAAATCCCAACTCCTCAAGCACTTAGCATATTCATAGGAAAAGTGTTCTACAATGGTTTGCTGCAGAGTGCTTCAAATGCCACAAGGCACAGCCTGTCAACTGTGGCAGGAATGAGGTGGCCTCCCTGTATGTACAGGTTTATAGGATCTGCATAGAAACACAAGAGTGAAGGGCCCAGAGACATGTTCTTCCCCTAAGAGTAAAGGAGAACTTCATCACAGAGAATCGGACAGAGTGACATCCTCAGGTCTGTGGTCCATGCATGGACTCTCATGCTAACATGGCTACAGCTGTGTACTTGAGAAGACAGGAAGCTGAGGATTCATTTGCCTATTCAGTGAATCCTCACCCAGGGATACGCTGTCCTTACTTGGATCAGGCCCTGGGATCAGGTCTTGACTCTCAGGAATGGTCTTGCAGAACAGAGCCTGACAGGTGGATTAACACAGTCAAGAGTAGACTGAAGGCTTCAAAGGGAAAGTGCAGACTGGAACCACAAGAGCAGATGAAAACAGGGG